GGCTTAAAATTTCTTTCTGCTGTTGAGATTGTGCCATTATCTCCAGCTGACAAACACTGCTGCTCTGGCTTAGAAGGTTTTTAAGAGATTAAATTCACAATACGGTCTTATTTTCATTTTTCTCTGGTTAAGGAAGTTGAAATTTCTTTTTCCCCTTGTTGCTTATCTTGGCAACAGGACTGTTTCTCTCTGCCCCCTTTTCCAGCCAAAAAACATGCCCGCAGTCCAATGCCAGGGAAGGGCTTCGGCCCTCGCTACCAGCGGCTGTGACGGTGCAGCTGGATTAGCCTGCTGGCCTGTGACATCGAGCGTTTGGGGGAGTCTAGCGCTCTTCGTTCTGTCACCAGAGCTTCCACGTTCTACTCGGGGAATAAGAAAGCCACCCTGCCGCTTCACGTTCTTTAGAAGTCATTTAGAAGGACTGCAACACTGAGAGCATAACACTCCTGGGGGCCATCTAGCCACCAACATCTAGCAGCATTATTATCCAGCCCCTCATTCCCCGCTAGCCGCCAACGAACAGAGGCAGCCATTGAGTCTCACGCTCAATTCAGGCAGCCATTAAAACGCTGTCAAAGGCTTTGCGTCTTTTTTCCTTTGATTGCAAAAGCAACTTTTGCCGAAAGAGCCTGAGGCCACTTTTTGACAGCTAGCCATCAATTGACCTGGACTAGGGAGTTGTGACTCTAGTAACAACTAGCCACCATAGATTGCTCAGGAGCTTTAGGTTTCATTCTTCTAGCGGGATTTTTTTAGGGACAGTGCCCTCCGCCTATTACAGCAGTGCATGTAGTTTGACAGCAGGCTTTATAGCGGACAGGAAAAGAAGGGTGCCAAAAGCGGGGCCAGCCACGGCATTAATTGCACTACGACTGTCACTTGAGATGGCAATGACAGTGGCGACCAATGTTCCCTCTAATTTTTTTTTCAGTGTGCGCAGAAAAGTATAGTGTTTGAGCAGCACATTTTTATGCCTGAGCACCTGATTTTTTTTTGCTGGGCAGAAGGGAGTGGGAGGGAAAGACCCTTGGTGGCGTGGAGAGATCTCAACTTGTTAAATATTGCATGGCGTTCACTGGGGAGGGGGCTGCGCTTTCCACACCCACTCAAGGAATGGGGGAGGGGGGGGCAACCATCCAGGCTGGGCGCGTCTGCGGGCATTTGGTTTGCATGGTCGGGCTGGCCAGCCAGCTTGGCTGAGCAAAGGTGAGGCTTTCGCCAAGGGGTGGTGGGCAGCGATTGGGAGGAGAGGGGAGGGGGCGAAGCTCGAAAAGCCGCTCCCATCCCAAAGGAAGGAAGGAAGGACCCATGGCGGCCCCCCATCCCAAGTGGAACGGTGCCACACGTGCGATCCTAGCACAGTGTGACATTAAAAATCACTGTGTGGCAGTTGGAAACTGCTGTGCGGCATTTTCTTGTCAAGTGCGTGGCCGCGGAGCTTAGAGGGAACATTGATGGTGACGGAGGGAACTGATTTGGGGGCATAGCCCAGGCTAGCATACCACTACTGGTTTGGCTGAACCGGTAGGAACCCACCTCTATATACTATGTTGTGTATAGAAGCTCGCTCACTCACACACACAAACTGATTGTTTTGGTGTGCAGTGCCCTATAGTGTTGTCTTGAGGGAAGAAGTTTAAACAGTTTATGTCCAGGATGTGAAGGGTCTGTAGATACTTTCACAGTCTTCCTTCTGGCTCGTGCAGTATACAGGTCCTCCGTGGAAGGCAGGCTGGTTTCAGTGGTTCTTTCTGCCATCCTAACTGTCCGTTGAAGTCTGTGTCTGCCTGTTTGGTTGCAATGCCAAACCAGGCAGTTATAGAGGTACAAATGACAGACTCAATAATTCCTCTGTAGATCTGTTATCAGCAGCTCCTTGGGCAGTTTGAGCTTTCTAAGTTGGTACAGGAAGAACATTCTTTGTTGTGCGTTTTAATGATGGCTCTAATGTTATGTGTCCATTTCAAGTCTTGAGATATTATAGAACCTACAAACTTGAAGGTCTCTACTGTTCATACTGTGTTGTCTAGTATTGTAGAAAATGGTAGAATAGTAGGGCTTCTCTGATCTCTACAGTTTTGAGGTGTTCAGTTCAAGATTGTTCTGACCGCACAACAAGGCTAGTTGTTCAACTTCCCATCTGTATGCAGATTCATTGTTGTCTCGAATGAGACCAATCACTGTTGTATCATCTGTAAACCAGTACTTTAACAGAGGGATCTTTTGAGATGCAATCTCACAACACTGTCAAATAATTTACCAAGACTGTATCATTATTCTCATCCTTCCTAGGACCTATCTCTTCCCACTTATGATTATAATCATGTTGCTTGTATCTTTACAATTTATATTGTTTTATTTGTTTCCTAGTATGATTTGATTGCTTATTAGTAACCTATGTCTATCACTAAGTGTTATACCTTATGATTCTTGATGAATGCATTTTATTTTATTTTTCTTTATATACACTGAGAGCTTCCGCACCAGACAAATTCTTTGTTTGTCCAATTACACTTGGCCAAATAAAGAATTCTATTCTATTCTATTCTATTCTATTCTATTCTATTCTATTCTATTCTACAGTAAAACACATTCAGGTCATCTCCCAGTTGTCCCCTTCAGCATGGAAAGGAGGTTTGCTATAACCAGTGATATCCCCCCCTCACCCCCCCCATACAAACACTTGCTGATTTATTTGTTGAGAGCTGATTCCTCAGCCTTTCAGAGTAGCTTCTTTCTTCTGGTCTCCTTTGTGAAGACTTTTCTGGCCTGATCGTACAGCGTTCTGTCTCCTTTCCTGTGGGTTTCCACTTTGGCACAACGTAGCTGCTTGCATTTAGCTCTGAACCAAGGCTTGTTATTACTGTGTGTTTGCATGTATCTGGCAAGCACATATAGGTCTTCACAGAAGCTGATATATGATGTTACGGTATCTGTGGGCTTATCCAAGTCTGCAGAGGTATCTTCGAAAATGTTCCAATCTCGGCAGTCTGTCAGAGTTCCAAATAGCATCCTCCATAAAATAAAAGTCTGAGGCAAAGGATTCCAATTTATTAGAAGAGCCATGTTGGCACATCTGGGAAACCCCGAATCTGAAAGCTTCCAGGTTTTCCCCACCCAGCTGAAAGTTCAAAACCCTTCCCCAGCACTCACATGTCCATCACGTGGCCCAATCAGCCACTGTCACCAAGGAAGATTCCTCCCATCTCCCATTGCCTCCAGTAAGACAGTTGACATGCTGAAAGGTTCTTGACTTAAGTTAGAACTGTTGAAATCTCCCATCTGAGTATCTCTTGAGCCCACATAAACTGGTCAGCTGGAGTTTTTAATGCATTGTTTATGCAAGCATGTGGAGGAATTTATGTTGCAAATAGAATAAATGCAGAAAACACTCATGGAGAATAAAATGGCTTGCAATTGATAATTAATATCTCTTAAGTCCACATCACACATCATAGAATTTCTTTAGTGTAGTTACATTTTTACACCATCAGTTGTTGATATAAAAGCAGAGACCCTCTCCCTTCTTTTGCCCGGATGTTTCTGCAATTTCAATATAGTCACAGAAAGCTGCCCATTAAGAAAATATTACTTGATCTCTTGAATATGACATACAAAGTGAATTCCGGAGAATAATAGAAAAACAATAAAACTATTAGAGAGCATTTCAACAAGGCTGCTGTCAGCTGTGCCATCTGGAAACGATGCCTCACAAAGAGTACAAGTCAGGGGTCCACCACAGAAGACAGGACCCAAGATGCAGTCCAGATGCAGAAAGTCCTCAGAGAGAGGCAACGCACAATGGCAGGGAGTGAGATGCAGGCAGGTACACTGGGGGAGGCAAAACCAAGTAGCTGGACTAGTGGACTACATTGTGTAAAACAAGAAGGCCAAGGTCCTGTGGGACTACCAGATCCAAGTACTAGCCTGCTAGTAGACCAGAAGACACAGTGGTGATAGATGGAGCAGTGTCAAGAGGCAGCAACTTCAGGAAGAAGGACCAAGGCCTGAAGGGGGAAATGGAAAGGATGTGGAAAGTCAAGGCATGTGTGGTCCCAGGGGTGGCAGGAGCACTTGGGCAGGGACTCCTAAGATCCTGCACAGAACCCTGGAGCCCTCAGGCCCCCGGGAGAGGACCTGAGGTTGAGGAAGACAAGGCTACCCTATGGGTGAGAAGGGTATTTTTATATGTGTGTTCTCTCGTTTTACATTGCTGAATACAACTGCAGTTTTTTTTTTAATTAAAATATATTTCTAGCTTATAAGAACTCTTCATAGCAAAAGCTAAGCATATAGAGCTGTGGTGGCGCAGTGATTACAATGCAGTGCTACAGGGCTAACTCGCTGTTCAATGAAGACCCAGATGGTTGAGGTTCAGATATGCTGATTCTGTAAACCATTTAAGGTTGTAAAGCAATGTGAAGCCGTGTGCTATTGCCAAATGTTGTACGTAGGTTATTTCAAATCCCATGATTTCTAACTGCAGTTTCCACTGCAAAATGTTGAGCTATTTTCTAGAGAGATTCTGCTCATATAGTAGGAAGCACATAATTGGGATTAGAGAGACTAAATTACCATTAGATGAGACATTAGCTTCCTCTTCCAGGGATGCTGGGGCATTCCAGGAGTACCCAAGGGGCTGTTTCAACATCTGCCTCTCTGAACATAGGCACAGGTTCTATCAATCAAGAATATTTATTTACTCCCCTTGTGAGCACCGTTGAAAGCAAAGCTCCTGAGCATGCCAGTGTAACTATACATCTTGTGAAGTCCAAGGACCTGATAATAATCCTGGGGGAGTAAAGGTCTCCCTCCGGCTGCCCCTTTGTCCATCAACATCGAAGCTTTGCTTCTCTCGCCAAGCACTTTCCCTGCCTCTTGGAAGCCCAAAGACTGTGAGGTCCAGGGAGGTGATGGCAGCCATGTCGGAGGGTCCCCCTTGTGCAGAGTCAGAGATCCCCCCCCCCCGAGGCAGTCTTGAGGCGCTTTCAGCATGTGGCCCCTTGTGATTGTCTCTTCAGCCCAGCTCCAGCTGCAGCAGATGGCTGCGCAGCAGCAGCAGCAGTTCCAGCAGCAGCAGCAGCAGCAAGCCGCCCTGCAGCAGCAACAGCAGCAGCAGCAACAGCAGCAGCAGTTCCAGGCCCAGCAGTCAGCAATGCAGCAACAGCAGTTCCAGGTGCAGCAGCAAGCAGCAGCAGTTGCACAGCAGCAAATGCAGGTGGCACAGCAGCAGCAGCAGCAAATGCTCAAGTTGCAGCTGCATCAACAAAGCCAGCAGCAGGTGAGAGCAAAAGCTCCAACGTAACCCTCTCCCTCTTGCCCAGCACCTGGAGACAGGACAGCTCTGGTGGCCCCTGTGGGCATGGTGGGAAGGGGCTGAGCTGGCTCCCCTGAGGCCGTCAGTCTGACTGGGCCCAAGGGAAAGAGGGCTTGGTCCTTTCATAACGGGCTCTTTGGATCGCTGCTGAGAGCAGAAAAATGGACCCAGGTGGACTTTGATGCCACCTCTGTCTCTCCAGCACACAGGGAGCAGAACCTCTCTGGGGCCTTTTTTTTAAACAAATTTTTTTATTTATTTATTTATTTTCAAAACAAACATATATTGTAAAAAGTATA